AATGCTAATATAAACATTCAGTGAAATTTTCAAGTATCTACAACCATTAGTTTTTAATTACAACAAAATAAGGAAATCGTTACATGAGAAATCGAGTGAATATCAAATGTTGTAAAAATATGAATTTCAAACCCTCATAAAAATATAATTTGACTTTCTTCTGGAAATTTTTTTTTGATAAATGTGGACAAACTTATGAGGAATCTTGTATTACATTTTACAACCTTAGACTTAACAAGAAAATTTTTTAAGAATTTCTAACTCAAAATAATTTGCTAATTTTCGTGATTTTTCCATATTTTGTAAATTTTTGAACTTTAAATGCTTATGAAAAAAAATTGTAACTATGAATTTTTAAGTTTTTTCATCTGCCTTTGAAACAACTTACTAAGAGCCTTCTATTAAATTGTCAAGCTTTTTTAAATAACAAATAAAATTTTGTTGATATTTATAGAAAAAAAAACTAAAAAAAAGGTGGGCAAGTGGGTGTCGCTCTGCTGTACAGTAGGTTACAAGTGGGTCACTGTATAATGGATGATATTAAATTTGAATTCAACGATATAATATCATTCTATAAGAAAAACGATTCTGAGCGGAGACGGTATGTCAGTCTATGTATAAGACATATTATATACATATCTATGGTATTAAACAAAAAATTGAACTATAATAGGTACCTATAATAAATTCCAAATTAATCATATCACAATGTCCATTAGGTACTTATAACGCGTTATACATCAACAAAAACCGTGATACTATCATAGATATATAATAGTACACTTTAGAAGTTTCAAGTACCCACGAATAATATTATTCAATCACAACAAAATAACTATAATAGTTATTCTAGGTTTTTTTAATATGTAATTTCGTCCAAATTTGAATTTAAAATGTCTATAAAAAATAACTGTGTTCATATATTTTTTAGATTTTTTGGTTACAGTATGAACTATTTATGAGAACCTTTGTTTAAAATTTGCAATCCTTAGCTATAAAAACTGAACATTTTATAATTTATTAATTACAATGATTGATAATTTTCGAGATTTTGATAAATTTTGTCAAAATTTGATCTTTAAATGCTTATAAAAAAAAACTGTGCCTATGTATTTTTAATATTTTTCAACTGCTATTGTAACAATATATCAGGAGCCTTGTATTAAAATTTTCCACTTTTTGGCCCAACAGATAAAACTTTATTGATATTTATAGAAAAAAAAACTAAAAAAAATTGAAAGCTGTAAATGTCCATAAACAGCTCAAAAAGAGTCAAAATATTTTCAAAATTGTATGGTGTATAGGAAATGTCAATATAAACATTCAGTGAAATTTTCATGTATCTACAGTTATTTGTTTTTGAATTACAACAAAATAAGGAAATCGCTACATGGGAAATCGAGTGAATATTCAATGTTGTAAAAATTTGAATTTCAAACGGTCATAAAAATTTAATTTGACTTTCTTATAGACATTTTTTTTTTGATAAAGGTAGATAATCTTATAAGGAATCTTGTGTTTCATTTTCAAATCTTAGATTTAAAAAGAAAAATTTTTACGAATTCTTAACTCAAAATAATTTGCTAATTTTCGTGATTTTTCCATATTTTGTCAATTTTTGAACTTTAAATGCTTATAAAAAAAAATTGTGACTAAGGATTTTTAATATTTTTCATCTGCCTTTGAAACAATATATTAGGAGCCTTCTATTAAATTTTCAAGCTTTCGCAACCAACAAATAAAATTGTATTGCTATTTTTAGAAAAAAAACTAAAAAAAAATGGAAAATGAAAATGTCCCTAAACAGTTCAAAATAAATCCAAATATTTTGAAAATGTTATCGTGTATAGAAAATGCAAATATAAACAACCAGTGAAAATTTCATGTATATACGTTCATTTGTTTTAGAGTTACACCAAAAACCAAAATCAATTTTTTGGAAAACCAATTTTGCGTAAAAATTCCCGTTTTTCCTTAATTTTTATGTTGTTTTTCCCGGCGCTTGTGAAAACTACTGGGAAATTTATACTTTTGACCCCCCAAAGTACCAACTAGATTCACTTTCCTATCAGAAAAGCTACTGATGAAGAAAATCCAAGCACTTTTACTGTCCTAAAACGTGATGACAGACACAAAAATAAAAAAAAATAAAAAAAAATAAAAAATAAAAAAATAAAAAAAAAAACACACATCATTGTAAAATCAATACATTCATCGTTTCACTCAGAATCTAAAATTTAAACTTAAAATGTCCGGAAACAGCTCAAAATAAGTCAAAATATTTGAAAAATGTTATGGTGTATAGAAAATGGTAATATAAACATTCAAATTTCATTTGTTTAAGAGTTGCACCAAAAACCAAAATCGATTTTCTTAAAATTCCTTTACTTGATAACATTTTGAAAATATTTTGACCTATTTTCAGCTGTTGACGGACATTTATAATTTTCAATTTTTTTTTGTTTTTTCCTTTAAATGTCAATAAAATTAGTTGGGTCAAAAAGCTTGAAAATCTAATACATGGTACTCCCAATACTCCTGATATATTGTTACTTTAGCAGTTGAAAAATATTAAAAATACATATTATGCACAATTTTTAATAAGTATTTAAAGTTCAAATGTTGACAAAATTTAATAATTATTTTGTAGTTAAAAATTTATAAAATATTCAACTTTTATAGCTAAAAATTGAAAATTTAAATCAAGGTTACACTTAAATAGGTTATAATATAACAATTACTTTATTCACAATTATATCATTAAATATACTTGGTAATATCATAGGCTAAATAGATAATATCAATTGTTTTTCTTATACAAAGATATTATATCATTGAATTCAAATTTAACACCATCCATTACAGTTACCCACACCACCCACTTGTAACCTACTCTACAGCAGAGCGACACCCACTTGCCCTTTTTTTTTTTACATTTGAAGTTCAAATTTGGTTGAAATTCTATACATCGACGAATATTAATAAATATTTTAGTTATTTTGTTTATCCTTGAATTTAACACATTCATTATACAGTACTTATCATTACCTACTCATCGCCCAGATACCTGGTACACTGGACTACTATACCGTACAGCAGAGTGGTTACCTATATTATTTTAATGAACTATTATGATTTATGAACTACCTATAATATGAACGATACTTGTAAATGATGTACCTAAACGTTGTAGGACACTATATATATGTACCTACGGGCTACGGTTTATTTCCAAGCCATAAAATTAATTTTAAGACTTGTGTAAAAACTTAAAACAAACAATTACCTAGGTTATGGTTACGATTTTAATGGATAAATTATCCCCCCTCACCATTGCAGTTTTTTTACCCAGTTACGCTACTGGTACGCTACTGCTATAACTTATCTATACGAAAAACAATTCTGATCGGAGAGTGGAGATTTGATCACCTATATTTTCTGAAGATTTTTTTTTTATATTTATATTGCTATTGGTAGGTAATTTATTTTTCAATTTGTAATATACTTAATAATTAATTACACACTAATATGGTTTTTTGAAAGAATTTTTGCCAAAAAATTTGATTTATTAATATTATTAATATAATAATATTTAATCCAAAAACATATCACAATATATCCACATGATAATTAATTAATTATATAATATATAATAGGGTCTCACTGTTTCAGTTAAAAAATTACACTATTGGTGCATTCCGCCCATATCAAATTCAATCATTTCAACCACCATTTATAATTTATAGGTACCTATATTATAAATCCACATAATCGTATATATATTATATATAATATTATTTTTAAAAAGAAAGTGTTATAGAAAGTAGTATTCAAGTTTCAAATGGTATTTTACTATTATTATATATTAATATTCATTATTCAACATAATATTATTATGAAAGTAAAATTAATGTAAGTGTTTTATAATTGTATATAATAATATTAATAGATATCGGTAATTCTTAAATATCTTTAAGAGGACGTGATACCCGTATGCATTGCCTTCGTCTTACAAATGTACAACATAGCATAAAACTGTTTTGGATAAAACCACTCCCTTGGTATGTATAGAAGAATTATCAAAATTCCACAACGCACAGGGAACAACTTTATCCGTGTCGTAGCTTTTTTTAATTTTTTTCATAGCATTTACCAATAATTTTTAATAATTAAATGAAAAAAACAAAAAAACTCCTAATGTTTTCAAACTAGTCAAACTGATAACTTTAATTTTATTTATGTTATCCAAATAATAAAAAAAGCTACGACACAGATAAAGTTGTTCCCCATGCGTTGTGGAATTTTGGTAATTCTACTATAAATGTCGAGGGAGTGGTTCTATCCAACGCAAAACAGTTTTTTGCTATGTTGTACATTTGTAAGACTGAGACAACGCATGCGGGATCACCTCTTAAGGCCCCTTTTGGACAGGAAAATAATTATGGTCACACTACGCATAGGTTTGTATACAATATTGGTTTAATATGTAAAGTATTTATTCATTTATATTTTTGTGGCTTCGCTGGTTGGTTCTTCCCTCAAGATATTCAAGCTCATAAATTATAATTTTAAAAATAACCATCATTTATGCTTATTGTATCTACTTTTTTTTTTATGTACAGATTGTATAGTTTCTAGATAAAAAAAAAAAAAAAAAAAAATATTTTTGTGGTATTTTGTATAGTTTAAAAAGGATATTTTCATGTGTCGTTCAGGAATCTACGTGTGGGATAAAATATTACTTTTTTTTTAATAATTTTTTTTCTTTTTACAATGCAATTGAAATCCTTTTAAGTAAAACAATAGATTCTTATGTATATCAAGTATTATTAACTTAAATTTAACATTAAGAGTTTTATTAATTTTATTAACATTATAGTACCGTTTTCGGTGAGCGTTAACGAGGTCAGTACACCTCTTTTTTGTAGTTTCATTGTAGTTTGAACGTTTTACAGTAAAATGCATACGCATTGTAATAAAAAAGCGAACATTACTTTTTGTCAAACCCAATGAAAATTCTTCGTGGGAATTTTCAACTGTATATTTAAATATGCCTGACTTGGTTTAAATCTCTTTTTAACACTATTTATAGACCTTTCGAGAGGAGGTTTTCTCTTAATTGTATGCTCTGTTAAATAAAATGGTAAGTTCGGAAATATAGATGGAACTGCCCCAGCTTTTAATGTGGGTCTAATTCTTTTAATTTTATTGACTGTTCCATCATTTAAGATAGTCTCATCATAAATTAGAATATCATTCTCTTTGAAATGCACTTCACACACATAACACTTTTCTGTGAGCATTTTGTCTTTCCTAGGTATAGCTCTATGCCATCTTGCTAAAAGCTCTGTGTTCTAAATATTATTTGTAACAAATAATAAATAAAAAATGATTATTCATAAATAAGGTTAAGATAGTATGTTTTCTTACTATGGGTGCTTTAAACAAACTTTTATTTTTTAATCCAATTTTCTTTTTATGTTCGACATCTAAAGCATAACCAGTAGGTATTACACCCTGGCACGAAACAACAATTAACCATTTTTAATGTGTAAGAAATAAAACACAAAATACAAATTAGGTACTAATCAAAGCAAAATAATAATAAAAAGTATTTAAAACCTTATCATTGTATGCATTGTCTATTTATAAATTTAATATTTTGATGAATAATAAATATCATGTATGAATCATCCATGCTTATGTGCAAGCCCGGATTAATGGAGGGGGGGGGGTGGTCCAAGGGGGCCATGGACCCCGGGCTTCGATAGTTAGAATTTATTAAGGGGCCTCAGATTTGTCCATTACTTTTTCCATTATAGGGTATAACACTGCATTAATCACCTAAAAAAAATCGATGATTATTTAGCTAAGAAAAAAGCTTGTAAATTATAATTTATAAATAAAGTGATACATTATTCATTATTTATTGCTATGTACCTAATGGCTAATACCCATATATATTTATTATAACGTGCACCTAATATTAAATAATATAATTATTTTTTTTTTCGTACAGAGGCCTTATTTAAAATTTTGGCCCCTGGGCCTCAAAATGTCTTAATCCGGGCATGCCCATGTGTTTAATAGCTAATTATTATAATATATATTTTATTTTTATTATTGAAACCAATTTTAACCGAGATCCCCCCTACTCTTGAATATATGTTTTGGATCTGATCCAGATCATAAAGTATTTGTAAGGAATAATAAATCAAGTTTAATTCGAAAAACGTACATAATCCCTATTATACTACCTACATGCTATAATAAATTGTAAAACGTAGCACTGCTATCGAACGTCGCGCTCCTGGTGGCAGAATAACCGTGCGACTTTTGTCAGGCCACTTTATAAACGAGCGGCGTCTCCTTATCTCTAATCTTCATGATTATAATAATATTATTGCGGTGATTACTGATTAAGATGAGACAATTGAATCCCACAGTAAACAGTAAACAGTAAAATTCATATGACATATTTCATAAAACTGCCTAAACGAACACAGTACACATGGCTTACTATAGTTATTAATTATTATAAGTACAATTGTTATTAGTTGTTATTAGTACAATATTATGGTTCCGTGCTCTGATCGAACAATAAAATAGTACTATAGATATGGTATTATGGTTTTTTGACAAACTTTTGAGGTACCTAGGTCATTATTTCGTTTGTCCATAGTCCTCAACAGATAAAGAGAAAAAAAAAATTGTTGTACACGGACGGTCGACGATACTGAAGTTAGTTTACCATATGAACTTGTCTAATCTCGGCTGGTTATTGTGTTTTTTTACATGATAATACGATATTTTGTATTATTTTATCGAGTGTAAAATTGGAAATATTCTTTTACAATTCAAAAATTCTTGTTGGATAATTTTATATTTAATATGATGTTTACTGGGAACTTGGCTTGTAAAGAGATTGTCCTCAATCAGCTGTTCTCTGCATCTCGTCTGTTTCACTTTAATAAATTGTTTAGCAAGTCATCTTCGTCAATTGAACATATTTTAAAGTCTATCGATAAGAGTGAATATGTAAGATATAAATTTCCAAAATGCATAAACAATTTAGTTGACATTAAACAACAACAATTTGATTCTTCATTTACCATTGTACCAGACATTGTGTCCGTTGATGAAGAGTCACGACTGATTGATGAAATAGAAAAATCATTGAAACGCCTACGTTATCAACATGATCATTGGGATGATGTAAGCCTAATTTCTTTCTAATAATATATTTAAATTAATGTTTTTTAAACAAATGTTTATTAACTTAGGCCATACATGGATACAGGGAAACAGAAATCATCAAATGGAAAGATCAAAACAATTCAAATGTGATACAAAAGCTCAGAAATAGAGTATTTGCTGAATCAGTCACAGAACAAATGCAGAGAGTTCATGTACTTGATTTATGCGACAAAGGTTATGTCAAACCACATATAGATAGTATACGAGTAAATATTTAACACTTGAATTACTAATATTTTTATATAAATAATTTTCTTTTATTTGATGAAAACATATCAAATAATACAACTATAATTTATTTTTTGATAACTAGTTCTGTGGAAATATAATTGCTGGCTTGAGCTTACTGTCCGACTCTGTCATGCGTTTAGCTGATGAAAAACATCCAGACACCTATGTTGTGTATGCTCTATTACCTCGCCGATCATTATATATTATGAAGTAAGTTTCACATGGTATTTTATTTTGTTATAAACATTTTTATTTCTTATTTATTTACATTCTATATATTTAAAATTATGAATTAATTAAATTATATGTTAATAAATTAGGTAAACATTTTCAATTTATATCCTGATACTGACCATAACTTAATTTTAATTAAACATAAATTTAAAAATTCTTACAGTTTAACTAAATTATGAACAGCTTAACATTTTGTTTATTAACAATTATTATATTGCATAATTTAAATAAACAATTTTGGAACATTGTTACTTTATGATAAATTTCAATAAAACAAAAGTAAATCCCATCAATTTCTTTAAAATCAATAGCTTATTTTTTCTTAATAATTATTATTCAGTATTTATTATGAATTCTTATTTGTAATTTAACTATAAACAGGGATTCAGCTCGATACCAATACACACATGAAATATTAAGTGATGGTGCAGCGTCTGTGTTCAATGATAGACAGATTGTACGGGAACGAAGAGTATCAATAGTAATGAGAAATGAGCCACCGGTTGAAGCTGTGAAATAATTCAATAATTGTATTAGTTAATCAAGATTTACTTGTGTTATTTTATTATTTAATTATAGGATATCTCATACCAAAATCTGTTATATTTACAAAACTATTTGTTTTCTGTTAATAAAAATACATTATAGAAAATATTAAAGGTAATTTACAGCCAACCCTCGATATTTCAAACATTTGATAATTTAGAGTAAATAAACGATCTCTTGAGAATCGAAAATCTCTTAGTAGTTTAAAGTAAAAATTAATTTAAGTACACTTGAAGATAAATATAGGGACCAAGCTACCAATTCATGACAAATCTAAGTATGTTCTACTGTACTGCCTGAAATTTAAAGTTGTTTCATGATGATTAAGAGTTGAAAGTGTTCATAATATATTATGGTTATGTATTATAGTATTATTATTATATACTATATTATATTATTATTATTATATTACAGTTATATATTATATAATCAATAGTTGGTATAAAATGAAGTCGCTTTTTTTTGTTTGGGATAAACTCTTAAACGGCTTGACCCATTTGGCTGATTCTTTTATCGTTGTGTTCGTAATTGTCAGGACAAGGTTTGCACAAAAGACAGTTTTAGGAAATCTGGATGGCAAAAATAATGAATGAATATTTTACATTTGGCCATAATCATGGTATTCTTAACCCTATTTTTTCGACCGTTTTCCTGGGAACCTAAACATGCACATCTTAAACACCACCCAACATGTTAATAATATATTTGTTATTAGTTATTACGTATGCACTTAGCATCTACCTGAAAATATACTCCTCACATAATCACAAGTATGTGTCTCGGGTAGGATAACCATAATATAATATTATCGAATGTGTTCTGACCAGTCTTGTAAAGAATACTTTTTTTTGTATTCGGAATACATATTTTAATAAATGAGAATTAAGGTATTCAGAATACGTACACGAATAGTTCTTAAAAATATATATTCAAAATACATATTCGAACACTTTTTTTCACAACTAGTTTTTGTCAATTTTTGAATGATTGGTAATTAACATTTATTAATTAATAATTAAAAATACATGGTAATCATAAGTTATTTATAAATGTTGACCACATATGATACGGCCGATACAGGCCATACGGGATACAACATATTGGTGTTTATAAAAAATAAGCTTATCATTGGCCAAAATTATATTTCGTTCAAAGAATAAAATTAATGTTCATGATTTATAATATGTCTTGTCACAAATTTAAAACTATTTTTCTGGATCGGAAAAAAGTATTCAGAATACGTATTCGAATACTTTACAAGACTGGTTCTGACTGATCAAAGTTTGAATCATATAGAGTGGACATTTTTGACAGGCATTGAAGTACATGAGTTTAGCTAGGTATTATAATAAGATTATCTTAAATATGTTTACATATAAAAAAAAACAAAAATTTGTCTCGAGTGGGACAACTAGTACTATATATTACAGTATTATTATTATATTATACTCTAGAATTATTAACTATTAATATTTTTATAAACTTGTCTCGTTTTTCTGAGCCCCCCCCCCCACAATTATTATTTACACATATTTTATAATTTATCTTCATAGATTGACATGGTCGTCAAAGGGGTTTAATAATATTATACTATTTTGTTTTAGGTATTACATCCTGTATCGTTTATTATATTATATAATTTAGTATTACATTATCAATTTAATAGATACATATACAATTACAACAAATACCATTCGTAAACTATGTGTAAAAATGGCTAAGTAAAAAAAATATAAGATCTTTAAGCACTATAAAAATGTGATATCATGAATAAATGCTAAGTATATTGAATATATTAAGTAAACTTGTTTTGTTTCAATAATTTATTTACTTTGCTAGGAATTATTTCTTAAAAGAAACAAAGTGTGAGGAACAAAATAATTAAATGGCAAAAGACTATTAAAATATAACTTATTATTATTAATATTTATATACTATTCTACATAATTCCTCGCCAACTAAATAAATTATTGAAACAAAATAAGTTTCCTTAACTTCAATATACATAGTATTTATTCATGATATCACATCTTTATAGTGGTTAAAGATCTTATATTATTTTTACTTAGCCATTTTTACACATAGTTTAAAAAGGGTTTTTGTTGTGATATCACTAATTTTTATCGTTATTAAATATTGAGTATTTACAATATCATCTATTAGAACAGTAATATTGTTGGTAACATTGGAAACGTTGATACGATGACGACTACAACGACGAGAGCTAACGTGATTCTGATTTTAAAATAATTTTCCATTAAAATGTTTGCACTTTTTCATTTATAACTTAATTTTTAAAACTACGATTTTGATGATTCTTACAAAAGCACGTTTTACACAATATTTCTGATGTTTTGAGTTTACTAGGGTTTACTAGTTTAAATAGACTATACACGCACCATCATGCAGTTATTTTTTTTTTGCCATCATTATTTGATTCAAACACTTGGTCATATATTTCTCTAATATTATATTAATTATTTTTAAAAATATGTAAAAATTATCTTTACATCTAATCTAATCCTTACATTTGAATTATGATTTCTAAAAAATGATGAGTTCATTTTTTTAAAATGTAGCAAATACTCTTTCTTAATCCATTTATTTATTATTACAAATATTAATGATAATAATTATGATTAAAATCAGATTGATTAATCTTTTATTGGATTAAAAGCTTCAAAAGCATCACGAAACATTTTGACATCATTCTCTTCTTCATCAACGGATTGCTCACATTTTCTCCAGTCAATACGATTTTCAACATTCAATAATTTTGGAGACGCCAACACTTCCCTAAAACAAATAAATAGTTTACTTTATTAATGCCTTGAAAACATTTAAACTAACAATTTATAAAATACCTTGCAATATGAATTGGAAATTTTGGCCGATGACCACTTTTTTTGGCAGCACTATGAAACAAACGTTTTCCGTTAGGCAACTCTGTACAAAAGTAATGGCCTTCACTGTTCCCAGCTATTTGACGTAACGATGCGGCTGGTGGAATGTCTACCAAATTGAGATCATATTCTTTAAATTTAGCCTGTACAAATTGAATATTAAAAAATTTTAATATAAGTTATAAATAATAATAATTTAGTGACAATTTAAGATAAATTGATAAATTTAGTTACTTTAAACATATTCTCAAGATGATCTGCCATTCTGATAGGAATTGGAACCACTTGTAATTGAAAATGAGCAGATAAAATATTACGTTCAAAATAAACTGCTACCCGGCCTGTGCTTTCAAAATACTGATTTAAAGAACTTTTAATCCTGTAACAAAAATCCAAACCAATTTGTTATTTTATTTTTTTTTTTTAATTGTAATGCCCAAATTGAATAGTAAAAAAAAAAATAGATAAATACAGATTTATTTCATTTTCTGTTTCTGGTGGTACTTCAGCAAGTGATTTGTAATGTTCAATTGGAGCCACTAGTATATGTTCTTTGACCAATGGACCCTTAATGCCTGATAGGTATACCTTGAACAAATTAGTTTATATTATACAAATGTTATTGGATAAAATATAAGTAAAAACTAATAAAATACTGAATACCTGATTCCCAATAGATACAATCAAATGCTTAGTAATATTTTTACTCGACAAACAAAACCAGCAAGAATCTGAGCTTATATCAATAGCTGTTCAAAAAATTGTATCAAAATATAAAATTATCACATTTCAGATGTATTATTATAAGTTATTAAAAATTACAAATAAATTTTACTGACATTGTCTGATTGGTTGTCCATCAAATTTTCTTTTTTTAGTTTGATCATTTTTTGTATAATTGCTGTTAGTGCTTGTATTATAAAAATACTGATTTGAAACTGGCAACATATTAGCAGTATATTGAGATATATTATCAGCAAATGGCGATTCGGTGACGGTATAGTTCATTGAATTTGGTGCAGTAAATTCTGCTAGTGATAAAACAAAGCCATAGAGCCATTTTTGTTTTTTTATTTTATTGTCATGATAATCACCCAAACCAATAAACCGAGTTACTGTTTTACTATTGGTATTTCTATAGAACCAAAAATATGTTAATTATTAATTCAAAATGAAGAATAAAAAATTTAAGAATAAAAAATTAACATACTTGTAGGGACTACGCTGATAGAACACTCCTTGCAATCCAGCAAAGTGATAACGTGGAGTTAAATTAATAGCTGCCCAAGATAAAAGTTGAGATTCACTTTCTTTTTCTGTTGGTTCCTTAACATTAATGTTCTATGGAAAAATAATTAAATATATTCTTGAAATTGTTTCATATATTTTAAATTATTATAGTATTGTTTAAATAATAGTTTGTACTTCAAGAATTCGCTCTTTGTTACGAATGTCTAACGGCCATGGTGAAGTTAATAGTACATCCAATGACGTACTTCCAGCTCGAATACAAGAATCTCTGAACTGAGAGAGAGAATCGTAATTGAATGTATGGATTTCATTTTCTTTACTACTATTGTTTTGTATTCCACTGATATATCCTATTTTAAGGCCATCAGAAGTTGTAAATATTCCATCTTTACCTAATAAACATACAAACATATATAAACAATTATTTTCTTAATTAAAAAAAAGAGAATTATAAGCAAAATATGAAATATTTTCAACATAATAATATAACCATTTATTAACCCTAGATCACAAGCATTTAAAATATTCACGAGAACACAAGCACACGGTCTTTTTAGTCATACACAGTATAGCGCAAAGCTTAGTCAACTAAACAGTCACAATGACAATAAAATAACTATTAATTTCGTTTATCGAGTAGCAATTATTAGAAACACAGTTTAAAAATAACCCATGATTGATTTTTTACGATCGTGCACACGGTCTTTTTGACCGTATATTAATACGTAATGTCTGGTAATGAACTTTGAACACTTCTATATTACTGACATCAGATCGTATACAGTTGGGAGTTGTATCTAATTTTAGTTTATCAACTAATTAGAAGGTACCTAGGATGGATTAGGTTAATATTTCGTACTTTTGAAACAATGAACAAAATTCTTAAAGCCCGTTCTTTTTGACCGTGAAGCGTGTGCTCTAGGGTTAAAAATAACAAAATATTACTAACCAAGATAATAAATATTCGGTGCTAACTGTTGATGTTTTAAATTCTTGAAATATTTTTCATGCTGTATCTTATTTGGTCCCAATGTATAAATAGGAACTGAAACTTTAAAAAAACAACTTTAAATTCACTCAAATAATTAACAGGATTTCCTTACTAGATTTGCCAGACTTTTTAAACTCTTCCCATTCTTTTTCACAGGATTCATCGTCTCCAAAAAAATCGCCTATGCAAAACACATAGTCAAACGCGCCTTTTTTAGCAAACAATGCTTCTATATGGTCAATAAATGACGTTATATGTCCTTTGATACCGCAGCAAACTAATCTGTATACAAATAGGTAATTTCAACAACAACAATAAGATAACACAAAAAGAAATATAATTTTAACTCTTACATTTTGACTTGCTTTTTTTGATTTTCCATTGTGAATTCAATAACTTGTTTAATTTAAATATGATGAAAATAATTGAAATTTGTTTATAATTGACTAAATGACTATAAATTTAATTAGTTATACAGCACAATAGATAGGTATTACAAATATTTTAAAATTCATATTAACTATTAAGTATTAACACTTTTATTTTTTTTTAAGTCTATAGTAAAAGCTTAAAGCAGTTGTCAGCATGGTCAACGGACTGTCTAGACAGTAAGTTGTAAGTTGTATTTGTAAACTCAAGGCAGTAGGTATTAGCGCTTTTTTGTTATCTGGTAACTGGTGAGTGCTTATCACCATAGACCTATTAACTAAATGGACTGCGCCTTCCATAACAATTACACGGCGAAAAAATAAGTCAACATCTGATAAGCAAAAACAAGTATTTGGGAAGATAAAATCAATATTTATTGTTTCTTCCATTCACTATCATGTTTCCCGCCAATGTATTTGTTACAATAAATATGGTTTTTGTTCTGCGTATTTTCAATTTTGTATTTTTAGAATTATTCAATTATCGTTCGTCGTCTGTTGAATCCGGTCGTTATCGCGATAGCATTTATTATAATATTAATATTTTGGACTTTGGAGTGATCTACAATTATTTATGTTAACTGAATTTTGAATAAAGTAATTATTTTACACACGGAATGTGGACGCCGATCGAATAGTGTAAGCAGTATAATATTGAATGTTTGAAGTACGGTTTTATACTTTTATTCAATTACAAATATTACATTACCGGTGTGCCTCATTTACCAAAAAGTTTTTACAAATGAAGCTATGAAACCGTGAAGATTGCAAGAACATTTAATACGAGAGTTCATGCCAGGTAATAAAAAAAATAAAGTTTTGTTTTATTTACACACACTTGAAAAGACATTTTTGAAACAGCTGACATTGGTATTCATATGTTTTCAACAACGTTGAAATGGTACAATACTTTACTGATTGCCAAATGTGGAACACCCGAACACCACATGCTGTTGGCGATGAACTTATTTTGTAAGCTATAAACGAGGTAATATACACACTGTTGCATAAACCAGTAAGATTTCAAGGAAATTATTGATACGTATCGGGTAAATTTTTGAGAAGTTACACGTACAATATACAAGCGAAACGTACCCAACCGTATTGCATCGGTATATAACTATTCTCTGTCGATACGTGTCAAATTTTTCTTCTTGAAAATCTTGAATCTTGATATTATTTGTAAAAAAACCTCTGAACTATAACATAGTACAAAGGAGAATTGATGAAACATAGCTATTAAACCAGAATCACTAACTTTTAACAAAAGGAAAACATATTTTATTAAGAAAACATTTAAAGCAATTAATTAATGACTTAAATTATTATAAGTAAGTAAACATATATATTATTGATGTCTGAAATGTACAAGTTTTGTAAAATGTGACCTTATTCTGTCTCTAGGCTGACTACTTGATTGGTTGAAATGATGAATTCTTATATTGAAGTAAGTTTTGAAAATTTCTTTTATAATTTGTATTAAATGATTATTTATTGGATCTTGATTATATATATGTTCAGATAAATTTAAAAAGTATTTATTGATATTGATCTTCGAAAATGATTTCATTATAAATGTCTCTCTTATATTCGTTGCACCAATCGTTTTATATATGGATGGTTGAGTTCGGAATACATTTTCTGCAATTCGACAAAGCTCAGTCACGTCATTAGTGGGTTTAATAAGTTTTCCTCTTGTTTTTATGTCTATAAAAGGCATCGGAGTAGAATTTGTTTCAGACAAAACCTTCACACATTCTGGACAATTAATTATTTTTATTAATTTTTTTGTTACAGCTCCGCTTATGTACTGAGTTACGTCCATTAAATATGATGAATGTGGAGACCTTTGCAAGGCCAGAAACATCGACATTTCATCTTCATCCGTCCCAGCTGAACAAATAAGGTCCAAAGAATTTGATGAAGAACTTTTTTTCTTGGAAGCACTAGTGGTTGACAGTATTTCGGTTGTGTCTTGAGATATACAATTTGCCTGGGAAGATGTAACTATTTCACTGTGTATTAATAAGCGTTTATATGCGGCTTCAAATTGACTAGCTGTAGGGTTGTCACAGAATCCGCCACGTGATCTTATTGCTGAAAAAAACATTTCCAAATGGTCTTGGGAAATTTTATATGTTAATAAAAATTCCAATTGATTGGTCTTCAGAACATCATCTATTAAATCACCAAGACTTGTTAGGCAAATTATAAGACCATTGAAACCAGTTCTCCTTCCAGAATTTATGATTGGTATAAACTCATGTGTCTTTGACTGTTTATTGAATGTTTTGGTCTGTATGTTTGATAGATACTCAATTGAAGAAGAAATAAAAGACTTAAGAAATGTTTCATCATTTAAATAAATAGGTCTTTTGAATTGGGTTTTACCTAAAAAATTCCTTGTGTTTAAAACATCAAAAATATTATTTATATTGTGACAAAATTGAGAAGTAGCATCAGAGTTTTCAAAACCAGCGATCTTCTGTTCTGTACAATAAGTCAGAGCCTTGGCCACACTTTCACTTAAAGTTTGAGCTGCAAGCTTCACCTTCATTTTTTCTTTGTAGTAGTTTATATGTCTTGATCTAATTTTGGTGGCTAAGTGTAATTGAGCGCTTTCTTGTAAATCTACTATCTGTTTTAGTAGTTCCCATTTTATTTCTTGTCCATCTTTGTCATATAAAGTTTTCCAATCACCAAATGTGTTTCTGCAAAGCTTAAGCATATGGCATGGATCCAAAAAAATAAAAATTTTTTCGTTTGTAATTGGGTGCGAAAAAAACGTTTTCATATCTGGAGGATAAAGTTTAGCCCCCAATGTAGTAGCCATAGAAATATTTGACGCAGCTCCATCAAATGTCAACGTCTTCACCAGTACACCAGTATCATAAACTATGGTTAGAGCTGTATTAATTAAATTGGCTTTTTCTGAACCAGATAACCCATTTAGCAGAAAATAGCCAATTGGAATTTTCCAATTGGAATTTAGAGCAACAAGCATAATTACAAGCGCCTCTTTAGCTAATGGAAGTGTATCTGTATCGGCATTAAGGCCAGTTCCATAGCTTATATACCCTTGGTTTCTTGTACCATTAAAATGTGTGCCCTCTTTAATACTAATTTCATCAATCATCATACCACACACTAAGGTTTTGTCCTTCAATTTTATTTCTGCTACTTTGATTTGTATAGCATTGATTGATTCTTTGGTAAAACCAGGTGCACCATCAACTACAGCATACCATTTCCGTAGTGTTGAGGGATGTGGAAGGCATTTGTTAAAAACTTGTCTCACATACTTGTAAGCTGCAGCTGAATAAAAATTTAGGGTCAAAGCAAAAGCCCTGAGTTCTGGTGAAATTTTTTTTTCTGTTTGACGATTTAATTGTTTTAATAACATTTCTCTTTGTGCAGTTGGAAGACTCTCCTAAAATTGTAAAAAAATTTAACATACTAGAGGATATATCATATTTTCTGTAGGGCAATAAATAATAAATAAAAACACTTGGTTTATTTGTTAATTTTTCTTTATTGTATTTTAAATATTCACATTTATATATTTTTATACATTAATATTTTACGTTATTCAAAAACACATTTGTACATGGTTTCTAGTCGTAATACAATATATAGTATAATATAGTAGATAATACCACAAATATGAAACGTGTCAAAAATATTTAATTTCTTAATACAATAGTCAATAAAAAATAGCCACTATGTTTCTACTTTTTAAAAAAATAAGGAGGGGATAATTATATACAGGGTTATTTTTCATATATTTTAACTCAGTTAAGTTCATTATTATTTTTTATATATAACTTATATCACTTATATTAACTAAATATTTTTCTGGATAATATAAAAATTCAAAATTAACTTAATTGGGAAAATAAAAATAAATAAAAAGAGTTGATATTTTTAAGTTAACGTAGTGGCAAATGAGTTAATTAAAAGTTAAGATAATTAAAACAGCAAACTAGTAAGTTATGTTAACTTAAAATTAACTTATTAACTCGTTAATGCCCAGTCTTGTCAATATTTATGAAATACTATATATTACAATATAAGATAGAGTTTTTAGTAAAACTATTTTTAAGGATTATTAATCAGAATTTGAATTTAACCCTGTTAATTTATTTGATTTCTTATTTATTTCATTTTTGATACATACCTTAAGATGAGAAAAACAGCTTTCTGAAATTTTGTTCTCTTCTTTGAGATGATCGATCAATTGACATAAATTTTTAACTTTCTTGGTCAACCACGTATTCTTATTCTGCAACAATTTTGTTTTACATTTGTATTTAGACACAGTTTGTTGTGATATATCCCAATATCGTTTTCGTTTTCTGGGAGTATTCAAGTCATCAGCTTTAAAATCACCAAATACCCATTTTCTTTCCCTGTAGACACATTAATAATAGTATTAGTTTAAATAATAACAATAACTAAACAAATAAAATATGCTATAACTAAATAAATAATAATATTAATTACATAGGCTTATTGGAGGTATTTGTCATTCTTTTTGGAGTTACTGGTACTTGAATATCCAAAATGGAAGTTTCCATGACATCAGCGTTGGATGGTTCAGAAATATTGGAGTTATTACTCATCTTTGTTGGTGTAGTTACACCTATGGAAGTTTCCATAACATCGACAATAGATGGTCTAGTAATATCTGAATCACCATCAAGCAACGGGGATACTGCATCTTTACCAAATGAATATATTGGTGTAACTTCAACAATATCGAAACTAACATTCATCTTTGATGGTGTAACTTCAACAATATCAAAACTATCATTCATCTTTGATGGTGTAACTTCCTTACCATCAACAGTAATAGGTGTAGTTACACCTATGGAAGTTTCCATAACATCAACAATAGATAGGCTAGTAATATCAGAATCACCATCAAGTTCACCTAGGGTAATTATATTAGTTA